TACAGTACAGTAGATTGAGCAAAGTTCCAAATCTCGGCAAATCTTAGAGAAAAGCCTGCTTCAGACCTAAAACTGAGACAAAGCTTGACTGTTTCAGAATGACCGTTATCCACAGCTACACTCGAGTGCCTTAAGAATCAGAAAGGTAATGTTCATGAGTGGGTCAGTTATATTTCTGACTTGAATCTTATTGAGAATCAGTGGGAAGCTTTGAAAACTGCTGTCAATAGAGAGAGTGAGCAAATATCCCAAATATAATGGGTCCAAACTGGTGTGCAACATTGTAAGAGATTTACCTCAGATAATTTCTTTCAGTTTTTTCTCTAAATTAAGCTGACAGTTACTGTGATTCATCTTACCCTTGCAAGTCTTCAGTTTGAGCATTCAAGTTTGGAATACACATTAGCACACCCATACAGGTATAATAACACAAAATTAAATTGCCTTCAAAACAGAGTATTTTCTAGAAACAGATTATGAGCCCAGACTATTATGCACTATAGTTTCATTTTTAGAAACATCTAGTCCAGCACATTAGGAACACATGGAAACAGTCCAGGTTGCTGGTGAACCCTAGATGTCTCAGTTCTGTTACTAAGAGTCACACTACCAGGCAGCATTCCTTGTCACAGACACCAACTTTAGATGATTTCTGACTCAATCCAAGAAAACACTGTAGTCCATGACCTTTTTCTACAATGGCATCCATGACAACCAATCTTCCCATTGATTAAGTTTATTATTATAACACTGAGAGCTGTGCATGTTTGTTTGTGCACAAGATATAATAGTTCTAAAACTATCCCTTTTTATCCTATAGTGATCAATGTCACTTTATGTCACTACACATTTAATTTTAATCAAAACACAGATACTGATCTATAAATGTATAAGGTAAGGGTCAATAAAACATTCAACATTATTGATCCTGAGCCATTATCAGGCCCCACATTAGTGGAATGGCTTCCCGAACCATCCATCATTATGTGTTGTCAGTATGTGAAACTGATATTAGTGACCAGTGACTTTGTTATTAACCAGTGCTAAAGGATATATGGGAGGTTTACAGTATCTGTCTTTTCTTAAAAAACAGTGCACAGAAATTTAAAGTTAAACTGTCATTGTCCTTCAGTAAATTGAGTACTAAAGGCAGGGATAAGCAACAAAAGAAAGAATTAAAAGGAAAACAGGAAAAAAGGTTAATTTCCTAAAAAAATATATTCTTGCTTGAGTTCAAGACCTTGGTTTCCTGCATTTGCATGGAGTTTGTAAGTGCTTCCCCTGATCATGTGGGTTTTTGCAGACATACTGTACTGGAAGTTTTACCGGCTTATGGGAAATGTGACCATGGAGTGAGTGTGTGAATATTTGGGTCTGCCCTGCCATGAACTGGTGTCCTGTCCCACAGTGTATCCCTCCTCCTGCATGTTAAAGCAGTTACAAAATGGATAGATTTCTCACTTTTCTTCAGACTTTAAACTGATCTGTTGTGTTTGAATCTTTATGGTGGGTTTTCTAACACCTGTCATAAACATCCTTTGCCTAATAGATAGAATTAATCAACCAGAAATCTTAGAATATAATTTGATGATGTAGTAATTGATCAAAAAGCTTTTTTGTTAGAAATTGGTTCTCCAACAACTGTTTGATAATTGAGGTTGTTAACTGCAAATACCTGAATTCGGAAAACCAGCTGGTAAAATTCAGCTGGCTAATAACAGAGACAAGCATGTGCTGTATTTGGTCATATGTACATACTGTGCTGTGTACAGTACATATTCTCTTCACCTTACATATTTACAGGCATCCTGCCTTGTTCTCCTTTTAATAGCTGGTAATGTCATATCATGTAATGTAAAAATACAAGATAAGAGTGTGTCTTCCTAAACATTATGGCAATATGTTTATTCTTTTTTTCTTCAAATTCATAGCATTATATGAATCAACTGTGACTGGTAAATTCTTGTTGACAAATATTGCTTTGGACAAGGAAGGTTTAATATTCCTAGAATGACAAACTAGGTGAAAAGCTAAAAAAGTGCTTTTAAAAATATCTCAAAAAGACCTTAATGCTTGTGACAGATTTAATCAGGATTAAGCTGTAAATGTAAAACGTTTACAGTATATTGTGTAAGTTGTGAGCTGATACTATTTACAGTATACTGTGTAAGTTGTGAGCTGATATTATTATTAGAGCTACTATTTATGTGTTTGCTATCTAGTGATGGAGAACTAAGATTGAAGAAAAAAACATTTCTCATTCTTTATTCCTTTAAAGATTTTGATCTCTGT